CTTCCAGGTCCTTTGAGCTCTGTGTACTCACCTAGAGAGTACCCTGAAAAAGGAAGTTAAGATGAGCAGTAATAAGTCAGTTAGAACTGAGGGGACACATTAAGAGTTGGATAATGAAACATGGAACGTTCTGATTTCCCTAATGTGCTTTTGGTTTTGTACAGGTTACTCGATTGTGCTCTTAGGAGATAGTTTAAATCTTCTGGAAGGAGATTAAAGGAAGATTATCATCAAAACTGAGATAAGGGAAAAGGTGCCAAGATGGAATGAAGAAAGTAGAATGTGGGCAGAAAGCCTACGTGTGTTTCAAAGTGAACAGTTAGACTGCATGTCCTATCGTGACCGTGTGTTTTGTCGATGTCTCCGTGAGTTTCCCCGATTGTGACAGTGGGGAGACACAGTCTCAGGTTTATATGGGAAGGCATATATGTGTGTATCATTTAAAATAGAATAAAGTGCTCTAACTGCAATTTTTTAAAAGAAAGAATAGTCTTATTTTCTAACTTATTAAGTAGAGAATTCTCCTGTGAATTGAGCCCTTTTTACTTAGTAATTTTTTATCTTTTTTTTTAACTTTTTCTTACTTTTTTTTTTTTTTTAACTTTTCACTTAGTAATGCTGTGTATGCTGTCTAGCTGAGGACTGAGATAGCTGACACATGTACTATGTATGCATGTACATATTCATGAAGAACCCCGTTAGCTAGATGATGCTGGGGCGACAAATCACTCCCCAGTCCTGGGGCTTGCATCAGTGGTTCATGAAGCAGGTGAACCAGCCACTACTTGTGGTAAAGGAAGGTACAGAAATAGGATGTTCAGCTTTCTTCTCCCAGCCTTCATGTATTGCTAAGGCTGTCTTGTTCATTGTGAGAAAGCTTTCTCTTGATCCCTTGAAACATTAACTTGCAGGGGGAAATCTCATATTAACCGACTTTGCTATTACACTGACATCTTTTCCCCATTTCCTAATAGCATTTGGACTAATTCACATTAGAGAAATGGGCTTTGTAGCCAAACACACTAAGAAACTGCTTTGGTGAGAGAACCTCCTCATGTCTCTTTGAGAAAAGCTACTTTACCAGGTGCCGCCTTAATCCACCGGGCGGTTTTTACCTGTAGCTGCGGAAGCACATCTTCGGCTGGGTCCTGCCTCAGGACCAAATTCTAGTCAGCATTTGTAGCTCCAGATCTTCTCTATTTTTATTAAGCATCTGCTTCTAAGCTCTACAAATCGCTAACTTTCTGAACTCCTTTAATCCTGATTATTGACCGATCAGTTCTTTTCTGAATTCGTCCTTTTCGTGTAATGATCTGTCAGATACAGCCAGTAGTAACCGACACGCTGCCGTCACAGTGCGTTTTCCTGTTAGAGCCGTGAGCTCTCTAGCTTCCGAGAGAAATAGGGGATAGTCTCCCCGAGAATTTCACCGCTGCTGTCCTGTTAGCCTCCTGTACCCATTTCTTGGCCCCTTTTCACCAGCTCCTAAGCCTTTGCCATGTGTTTGAGTTTTCTGGATGAGGCAACACCCACTCCTGGGTTCTGTCTGTATCAGCTAGGAGAGGCCAGTACTAACCAACATAAGATCTCAGAGGTTTTAAAAACACACTCTGGGTAAAATTAAATGAAAAAGAAAAAAAAATCCACTGTACCGCACATAGCCCATAGGTCATTTTTGTCACTCTGGGACCTGGGTGGAGAGCAGTGACAGCAGTTGTCATCTTGAAGATGGGTGGTCCCTGTTGCAGAGGGAAGAGAGCTAGAGGGTCTCATTGGTGAGAAAGTGCCGTTCCTGCGCGCCCCTCCTGCTCAGGAGGTACTCCGGTCCAGAAGTAGTCACACGGCCCCACCCAGCTGTGGGGAGGGGACAGGGTCAGAGCACGCAGTCCTGCCACGTGCCCTGAAGGCTAAGAGCCCAGAGGTCTTTGGGAAGAACACATTCATTATGACCACAGAGGATTTCCCCTCAATTATTTTTCTTTGTCTTCCTGCTTTTTGTTTAATTCCTAGCTTTTGCTGGTTAATTGAATTTTACTGTCTCTCCTCCCTTGCTTAATTTGAGATAATTAATGTGAGTAAGTTTAATGGTATTTGTAGTAGTTTAGATTAGTTCCACGGGTCAGAAGTTTTGGCACAAGCAAAAATAAGGCTAAGCAGAACTGAAAGCCACTGAGATCTTCCTACTGAAAGTGTGAGGCGGGAAATTTTGATATGTGCAGAAAGATACGTGGTTATAGGGACAACCAAGTTTAAGTTATTTTGGAGTGTCATTTGCCAGAGTAGCAATAGACCATGAGCTGTGGAGTCAGGCAGGCCTGGGTTGGGCACTGCTTCGGTCATTTAATAGATATGTAATATGAGACAAATTATTTAGCCTCTTAGAGGCATGAGTTTCTTATTTATAAATACAAATAAGTACAAATATATCTGCAGATGTCAAGTAAAGCATGGCAGTGTTTATCACCTGGACTTTCTGAACTTTCACTGAAATGAAAGTATAAAATCACTTCTTAATTTTTCTATTTTTAATTTTTTTTTTAATTTTGTCAGAGAGCGAGCATGCAGGCAGGGAGAGCAGCAGGCAGAGGGAGAAGCAGACTCCCTGTGGAGCAAGGAGCCTGATGTGGGACTTGATCCCACAACCCTGAGATCATGACCTGAACCTAAGGCAGACGTTTAATCCACTGAGGCACCTAGGCACCCCTATTTTTTATTTTTTTAAAAAATTTTAATTTATTTTTTATAAACAGGAGGTAGAAGTAGGGGGAAGGGTGGGGGAGAGAGAAAGAGAGAGAATCCCAAGCAGGCTCCACACACAGCACGGAGCCTGACACTTGGTCTCTTGACCCTGAGATTATGGCCCGACCCAAAACCAAGAGTTGGACGCTCAACCAACTGAGCTACCCAGGTGCCCCAAATCACTTTAAAAGGGCAAATCCATAAGGATGAATAAAACAGAAGATAGTAACGAGGAATGACAAAGTATTTGTGGACCACATATTAGAGTCGTCATAATGTAAGAATAAGTATTGACTTAACGAAAAGCTATGATAGAACTATCGCAGGAGGATGGAGGGAGGACTGGGGGCAGTCAGGTGAGAATAACTAGTGGGAGACAAGCAGTAACATCTTAAAATGAAAAAACTCAAGAAATAGAAATATAATCATGTTTAGGAATAGGGAAGGAGGGGGCGCCTGGGTGGCTCAGTCAGCTAAGCCTCTGCCTTCAGCTCAGGTCATGATCCCAAAGTCCTGGGATCAAGTCCTGCATTGGGAAAAAAAAAAATCCCTGCTCAGCAGGGGGTCTGCTTCTCCCTCTCCCTCTCCCTCTCCCCCTGCCTCTCCCCACTGTTTGTACACTTCTTCTCACTCTCTCTCTCTCTCTGTCAAATAAATAAAAATCTTAAAAAAAAAAAAAAAAAAAAAAGAACCGTGGAAGGAAATACTGGGGAGGAGGAGCTAAAGTAGTTGAACATTTTCATCTCTGGGCCACTGGATCAGATAGGATGGAGTCGGCAGAGGGCTACTCTTCTTGTCACAATCCTTGCCGGGTACGTGACTTGGACAACGACGTGTGCTTTGCTTTTTTTTTTTTTAGTGATTACTTTGGTAAAAAATAAATAAATAAAAATAAAAAATGAGTTTAAACACCTGTTAAATAGGACTAAGGAGAGGCCCCTTTGCCTGCTGATGCATGCGGCAGGCCCTCAGTGAGTGCTGGTTGCCTTCCTTCTGTTGGCTGGATGGGGGAGGCACTCGCGGCGCTAGTCATGACTCAGGGATGAGGTCTTTGGCCAAACAGCAATGTGAGCCGCAGCACAAAGCACGTTAGGCACCCTTCTCTCTCTCTCTCTCTCTTTTTTTTTTTTTTTTTATTTAATGGATGGTTTCATTTTTCTTGGAACCGTATCAACCTGATGGTTACTGTTTCTTAGAATTCATTAGACTTCTGTGCAACTGACACATGAAGAATTCCCCGGCTATTGAGTGGATTTAGCGAGCCACGCATGGGACAAACTTAAAAATACTTAGCAGCTTTGAAATTACTCTGATGAACCTGAACCCAGTAATATCTATAATAATACCTCCCCCGAGATTATATATTACTTCAGGCCACGGACAGTCTCTGTCTCTTCTGTAGTTACGTCAATAGCTGTTGTGTCTCCCTGGTCCACAGTGCCTAGCTCACAGCCAGCTTGGTTCTTTGAGCCCTAACTGGTGGACAGTGGTGACTGATGTTGAAAACAAAGCCAGCCAGCGGAAAGCTCTTGCGTGTATCACCTAGGACACCTGTTTAGATGACAAGACTATAGACGTCCTGTGGACAGAGACCACATATTCTGCCATATCAGCGTGTCCCGTAGTCTCTAGCATAATGAATGCCACGGGACAGTACCTGTCCATTTTGTCATCAGATTCGTAACGAACACCTACAAAGTGCTTGGCACTGTGCTAAGCTCTAAGGGTGGCCCAGGGTGTGGGACAGACAGACTCCTGCTATCTCGCAGTCTACACTCTGACAAAATGGTGGTTGAATGTAGTAAACCAGCAGCCCGGTAAAACAATGGTCCGCGCTGAACCATTTAAGCAAGGATCAGGAATTGCCTCTGTAAAGAGTTGCGCCCTTTTCAGCCGTGTCGTATGATGTACGTGCATGCTGTGGGAAGGAAATCGTGGTATCTGACCTTTTTTCCTCTTTGCTTTGCTTTGTAGATAAGATGGTCCAAGTCATCTGCAGCTCTCCTCAAAAGAAAAGTCACTAGTGCTCTGCTCTTGCCGTCATACCAAACCTTCTGACTTAGGCTTTGGTGCTGCCACACTGGAAGAATTGCATACAGCCTCCAGGAACACCTTTTTTTTTTTTTCTTTTCTTTTTTTTTTTTTTTTTTTCATTTGAGTGATTCTTTGTGGATGGAAAAAGATTGGAGTCTTAATAATTACCCTGTTTTGAAGCAATTTCTCTACAGTCTGAACTGCGTCCTCCCTCGGGCCCCTGACCCATGAGCCACACAGCCAGCTCTCGGCAGGGGCTGGGGGACAGCTGCGCCGTGCCTGCAGCAGGAATGGCACAGGAAGACAGCCGTCGTGCTCCAGTGCCGCCTGCCTTTTATCATGGTGCCAACCAAGAACTTGACCTGTCCACCAAAGTGTACAAAAGGGAGTCAGGAAGTCCTTACTCGGTGTTAGTGGACACCAAGATGAGCGCGCCGCATCTCCACGAAGCGGAGGAACAGCCGTATTTCAGGGAACCAAGGGCAGTGTCTGACGTGCGCGCTGTCAAAGAAGACCGGGAGAATTCTGATGACACGGAAGAGGAGGAGGAGGAGGAGGAGGAAGTCTCTTACAAAAGGGAGCAGATCATAGTGGAGGTAAACCTTAATAATCAAACATTAAATGTATCTAAAGGGGAAAAGGGTGTCTCTTCTCAGTCCAAAGAGACTCCTGTTCTTAAGACAAGCAGTGAGGAGGAGGAGGAGGAGAGTGAGGAAGAGGCCACCGATGACAGCAATGACTACGGCGAGAACGGAAGGCAGAAGAAGAAGGAGAAGACGGCGGAGAAGGCCGGCGTCACCCAAAGGAGAACCAGGAGAGCTGGCTCCGTGGCTGCGGCGACCACGTCCCCGACTCCCAGGACTACGAGAGGGAGGAGGAAGAGTGCAGAGCCGCCCAAGCGTAAGAAGCGGGCCGCCAAGGAGCCCAGAGCGCCTGTCCAGAAAGCTAAGTGCGAAGAGAAAGAGACTCTGACCTGTGAGAAGTGCCCCAGGGTGTTTAATACGCGCTGGTACCTGGAGAAGCACATGAACGTTACTCACAGGCGCATGCAGATTTGTGATAAGTGTGGCAAGAAGTTTGTCCTGGAAAGTGAGCTGTCCCTTCACCAGCAAACAGACTGTGAAAAAAATATTCAGGTAGGTCTCACCACCGAGAGGGCAAACTTTCCAGGATAGCCCCTGGCTGTTCAGACGCACCAGGCGTCGGCCCAAGAGAATAAATACCGTAGAGGCTGAAGGGACAGTGGTCACCGATTTATCTTTTTTCAAAGCTCCTGCTTTGGGTCTTTTGAAAACCCAGGCTTAATGTTTTCTTTCAAAAGCATTGCATTTACCTGACGCTGGACTAGTGGGAACGCAGGTACATTGGAAGGGGGAGTCTGTCGTAGGTGATTGATGACCTGGGAGGTAAAGTCAACACCGGCTTTGCACTGAGATTCACTGTCATGAGACGTGTAATATAGAGTTCATTCTGGCATCTTCTGTGTCAAGGTGGGAGATACTGAGTGAAGGTCAGGAATAGAGAGAGGTCCCCTTCTAGGTCTGAAAGGTTGCCAGATTCTAGTGCAGCGGCTGGGGACAAAAACCGTAATGACTCAGACCGGTGAAAATGGAAGATCTCCGGGAGTGAGTTGCTCTTACCAGTGGAGAGATGACAACATTAAATTTATCAAGAGGCTGAGCCCATGGGAGTATGCAAACTTTAAAACGAGGCTGAGCTGGTTGGAAATGTTGCCCACCTGGCACTAGGGTTACGTAATGCTTCTGTGCAGTATTATTAAGGTAACAGAATGTGGTTTTCAAACCAGGCTGATGTCTCGAAAGGACTATATTGCGGTAGGGTAAGAGGTACACTAATTATATGATGTCGAGTGAATTATATTACGTTGAGCTGCATTGCTTTATATCTGTGAATGCCTGTTAATGAATATTCATAAAAGGTAAGTCTATTACTGTCTCCGTAAGATGTGTAAAATACAAACGTGTTGTGCCATTTTTAAGCCAAACTTCTTTTGAAAAATGCAGTTGTTTTGTTTTGGTTTGTTTCTTGGAGTGCGCCTGACCTGGAGTGCTCTCCTTCCTTCTCACTTTACCTCTCGCTTTTCATCAACAGCTGAGATCGTTGCTTTACTTTAAAGAGATTTCTTCAGTATAAATTATGTTACCTAAAAAGTCACCGCTTTTTGATTCGTCAGTTGCGGCGTGGTCTCTTACATGCTGGGTAATAAAAAAAAAAAAAAAAAAAAGGCTGAGTCACAGCGCCCAGACCCTCCAGAAACTCCCGCTCCCTTGCTTGGTTAGGACTCGGTGGTGACAGTCAGGCCGAGGGGAGTGTGGTGCAGTGCTGCACCCTAGGGGTGAGACTGGGGCCCTGATGATGAGAGGGATAGCTCCATGTCCATATTGTGGGGTTTTGGGGTTTTTCTGTTTTTTAAAATATTTTATTTATTTATTTGACAGAGAGAGACACAGCGACAGAGGGAACACAAGCAGGGGGAGTGGGAGAGGGAGAAGCAGCCTTCCCGCTGGGCAAGGAGCTGGACACAGGGCCCGATCCCTGGACCCTGGGATCACGACCTGAGCCAAAGGCAGCTGCTTAACGGCTGAGGCACCCAGGCGCCCCGGTTTTTGTTTTTGTTTTTTAAACTTAAATTTGCTTTATTAAGTCACAGAAAGAAAACATTTAATACATCCTCATTCTGTGACTTTCCTCACTGTTGCTCACCATAAGGCACTTTAGCTCACATTCAGGTTTTGTGGATTCTGCTGAAAGAGCTCCCTTTACATTCCTGAAGAACACTGCTGTGTTCATACATTTATGGCTCCTTATGATCCTGGTGATCCAGGAACAAGGAAAAACTGAAACCCTGCCTGCTGGTAGGGCTAGGTCTGTCCTCTCAAATAGGTCCAACCAGAGGCTTTTTTTTTTTTTTTTTTTTTCACTCTTCTCAGAGTCCTTGTTTCCTGAAGTGACTGATGTTCAGAGATTTTTATTTCCCATGAATAACTTGTTCCCCTAAATATCTCCAAGGCAGTGGTTACCCAGAACTTTCTAGTAACATTTTGCTTTAACAAGAAGCACTTTATTTTGATACACTTTATGCCTGGTATCCCAGACTATGACTGATTCATAATACAAGGAACTCTAGGCACTGTTGCGTGTGTTTCCTGTAGATGCGTGGACAGAAGATCTGGGGCTGGCTACCAGGGAAGGGGAGGAGGACACTGACAGCTGAGAAGTTACAGGAAATTCTGCCAGAGGGATGTGTTCCATAGAGTAAATTAGATATGGGAAAATATAATAAAATCTCAATAATGCATGTTAAGGAAGGCTTCAAATGCATTCTTTAAGGTACAGAAACATTGTTCTACTTCCAGATCTATAACCATTAATATGTGTTTTATCTCGCTTTTATTTGTGCTTGTTTAAAATTAGTTTGTATTCCCTGATGAACACCTGTTAACTGCATAGCGACCTGTGTAGAGGAGGCAACTGCTCTGGGTAATCCATTTATTTTTCAAAACTTAGTTCTTCTCCACGGGTACGGTATTAATTTGATGAAAGCAATCAAGTCTTTTACATTAGCAGAACTTGCCATTTCTTTTTTGTCTTACTTTTGGCCGTTGTTTTCGTACTCCCAGAGCGTCTCTAAAAGATGCGTCTTGGAAAATAGAACGTACAGATGTTGGTGTTGGCATCTGGACTCCTCGGAGGACTGACATCTGTTTGGATTCGGGCCTCGTGCCGCGAATCGCAAGCACACCCGTTTCGTCCGCCAGTAGGCAGCAATGGCTTTCTGCAAGCCCCTGTAAATAAAGATTATTTCTATTTATCCTGCTCAGTGTGTTTCCTGTAACAAATCATTCAAGAAACTCTGGTCCCTTCATGAGCACATCAAGATCGTCCATGGATATGCAGAAAAGAAGTTTTCCTGTGAAATTTGTGAGAAGAAATTCTATACCATGGCTCATGTGCGGAAACACATGGTTGGTAAGTTTCTTCTGCTGCTTTTCTCTCACGCCTATAATTTGTCCTTGTTCTTTGGTGTGTTTTATGCTTCGGTTGGGGCAGGATCTGAGGAAGGGCCTTCCTCTAACCCGTTCCAACTTGTCAAAACTAACTGCGGCTTGTCCTCCGTTCGCACCACCGACTGGCCCGGGACAGGTTCCTTTCCAACCTTGTTATTTCTGTTTCTCTTCAGAACGTTGCTATTAAGGCCTCACAGGTTAAAGTGTAGAAAGTCCAGATGGCATGAGTCCCCTGCAGTGGGACATGAGTCTTTCCCAGCTTGGGCTTTTCGGGGGCCTTATTCTGAGTACGGTGCATTCTGTGTTGCAGCACACACGAAAGACATGCCATTTACATGTGAAACCTGTGGAAAATCGTTCAAACGCAGCATGTCTCTCAAGGTGCACTCCTTGCAGCATTCTGGAGAGAAGCCCTTCAGATGCGAGGTAAGGAGCACTGCCCCCCCAGGCCTGGGGCGAGCTCATGTATTTGTGGCGAGCAGTGCGGGAAAGGCGTGCGTAGGACAGGCATGAGGCCCTCCAGACGCACGTTCTGAGCGCCCTGTGTCCCCTCACTGCCAGGTAAAGGAGGGTCATCGTTACCACGCCGTCAACCCTCTCAGACGAGCTCTAGCCCAGGAGAGACACACGAGGAGTTACTCTCCTTCCCTCAGGAATCCGAAGAAGTTGGGTGTGACTACAGTGCTAATTACTGGGGGAAATTCCCCTTTTACGAATAACCTAGCAGCAGAAAGAGAGCAGAGCCAGAGCTGCCACAGCAGGTTCTGTTTGAAGGATGAAAGAGAAGCCTGGTCTCGGAGGCTTTGTAGGGGGGGGCTCCAGGGAAGGTGCTGTGCTTGGCCCTCAGGAGTCCCCCCTGTGTCCCGTACAGAACTGTGACGAGAGGTTCCAGTACAAGTACCAGCTGCGCTCCCACATGAGCATCCACATCGGCCACAAGCAGTTCATGTGCCAGTGGTGTGGCAAGGACTTCAACATGAAGCAGTACTTCGACGAGCACATGAAGACACACACTGGTAAGAATCTGGGGGTGGCGCCACCAGGTCTCTAGCACTTGTCCACCATTGCCTGTGAGTCTGTTCGCGTGAAAACTGAAAGCACAAACATGCGTTCTAAGGGCAAATTCGACTTGAAGTAAACCTGGTGTATAAAAATCCAGATTGATTAGCCTGAAAAATTGGGTTTTCATCCCTCTGTTCATTAAAAAAAAAAAAAAAAAAAAGGATTATTTGTGAGTGCCTTTTAACTGGGGGGTCCCTTCAAGATGCTGGATCCTTTTCTTAGGGCCCAGGATCTCCTAAAATTGTGTGCCCCTTGTCTTGTGTATGTACACTGTGCACGATGCGTGTGGTATTTTTTAAAGGAAAGGCTTCTGGACCTCTCAGAGCTGAAGGACACTGACGGCTTTAAACAGAATACCCTCTCGGTGTGCTTAAAGTTTGATCGGATTGGATTTCCCCCACATTACCACTTTTCCGGAACAACTCCCGTCAGATGAAGTTAAATCACATTTTAGCCATTTTGTTCATTTCTGGGGGGTTCTGCTTCCTAGCGTGGATGGGGCCCTTGTAAGCCTTTGGCTGCCCAGCTTCCAGGGGCCTGGCCAAAGTAGTAGCGGCCCCCGCCCCCCCTACCCCGCCGCCAGGCAAACACTGCATCGTTGCATCTCAGCCTTGACTTGGTGTTCTGGGCTTAGCTGTCTTGGTACAAATGGAACAGTACGACCCGTTTTCAGGTTTCTGAGTAAAATCTAATCACAGGATTCTGCATCGTGTCAGTCCGCAGAGTGGCAGAGCGAGAAACAACCACGGGAGGTGAGCGTGCTTAGCCCTTGCTCGTCTTTGCTCAGCCAGAGGTGAGAAGACTCTGCCTTGGCTGGATCGCTCTGGTTCAATTTTTCTGTTGAAGTCCAGAGAAAAGTGCCTGCCCGGTGGGCTTCTTTCCCATTCAGAGCAGAGCACCGTCTGACTTTAAGGATTCCTATAGATGAAGAGTCCTGAGAGGAGCTCAGTGAAATCAGCTACACCCTAAAGGGTAATGAGAACTCGGAAGCCTAAGTGGATGGACAGCAGGGTATAGCAGAGTAATTAACAAATTCTCCTCTTATAACTTGGTGGCTCTTGGACAGGCTCTTAGTTCCAAGTCGCTTTTAGGATTCGGTTTTTTGTTGTAAAGCAGGAAGCTGTGGAACGAGGTGAAAAATAAGCTTTGCTGAAGGCAAGTTGTGTCGCTTTCACACATGATGCTTGGGACGCAGTGGGCACCCCCAAGGTGTTGGCCGCATCAGGAAATTGGAAGGAACTGGGAGCCCTGACACCCCCGTCCCACCCTCCTCTTCTCTGCGCCTCTCCTGGACGGCTTTCTCCCGGTTCTCTCTTCTCTCCTTCTGCGTTTCTTTCTCTTCCTTCCTTCCCCTTCGTCCTTCTCTCTGTAGACCCTGAAATGGCCATAATGTGAAACCAGAGTATCTTGTGACTGACGTGTTTGTTGAATAAAATTTTATGTTAAATGTTCTTCTTTGACCAAAGAGGCAAGCTCAGTATTTCCTATTTCTTCCAAAGAAATATAGCCTCCTAACACCCTTCTCATTAAGAGAGTAGTACGTACTTACTAAAAAATATATTAGAAAATGCGAAAGTTAATAACAAAAATGATCATCACTGAAAGATCTTTACTGTTAACAGCATACATTTTAAGAAAATTCTGTAGTTTCTTAGCACATATAAATAGATACTATACATAAATGTTTACTAATGTATATAGACATAAAACAAAAATTGGGTCTTTATTGTAACTGGCTTTTCCTTTTGACTGTATTTTTTCATTAATGGCAATATCATTTTAATGGTTGTATAATATTCCTTCTGGTAAATTTGCTGTAATAATAGCCATCATTTATTATGCACATATATGCCAGGCCCTACCTGAAGTGCTTTACATACGTTACCTCCTACAGTCAAAGTCACCTTTACAATAGTCCTGTACAGTAAAGGATGTTGTTTCCACTTTATAAATCCAGTTCTCTACTAGACATTCAGATGATTCCTATTTCCAGTTTTTCTACTGTTACAAATAGTACTGGATAAACAGCTTTGAGGTTAACACATCCATGATGATTCACTTAGGATGAATTCCTGGAAATGGAATTATTAGGGCAAGGAGAGGCCTATGATTTTACACTTGGTGGTATATATTGCAAAATAGGCATCCACATACACTCTTACCCGCTGTGTGTGCACGAAAGCACCTATCTTCCCAACCCTTTCCAATGCTAAATAATACCCCTGCTGGTTTGCTAGGTAGGAAATGGCTTCTTACTGTGTTCGTTGGTATTTAATTCATTGCTAAGTGAGATCGGACGTTCTTTCCTGCGCTTACTGAGTGTCCGTGTATTTTCCTTCTGGAATCACCTGTGCCTTTTTCGTGTTCACCTTGCCATTACAGTGTTTGGCTTTTTGTTTTGTTTTGTTTTGTTTCTAATACCTCTTTATATATATTTACATACGCTGGACCTCGCTCCACACCATTATTAAGGTACTTTCCCCTGGTTTGTCAACTGCCTTTTCATATTGCTCATGATACATTGGGAAAGTGGCCAGCCAGTGGGGTTGGGCACACCTGGCTCTCCCGTTCACTGTGGCCTCTTTGGGTCTCTGGTCCCTTAGTGTTACAGAAGGATGACGGGAGTACTTGGGAAAATACAAAGAGAAGGGTTAGCCCTGAAGAAGAAAAGAGATAGCTCTTTTGAGGCTGGAAGTAACCACCTTTACGTATTTTTGTTGGTGATGAAGGCCATTGCGGGATCTGCCCTTGATTGGGCTGTTTCTTTGCAGTCAAGGAGAAGTGAGGCAGACCCTGTCTAGGGAGGCTGCCCAGCACTCAGCCAGGGTTTCCCAGGACGTTGTGGATGTGGGGTGAGTTCTGCATAGAGTAATTGCTGATTTTCCTCGCACCAGATACAGCGCTGTGTCTGGATGAATTCAGACCTGGTTTTTGCCCTCGAGGAGCTTCTGCTCCAGAGACAGGGACAGTGGTGGTAATAACCCTAGTCATGATCACAGAAACACTACAATGCATCGAGTGTCTACTGTGTGCCAGACACTGCGCTGAGCGCTTTCCTTGTATTTTCAACTTCTCGCAATCGCCTACTACTGTGAGCTTTGTTTATCAGACAAGGAAACTAAGGCGCAGAGATTAAATAACTTGTCCAAGGCAGCCTGACTCCAGAAACACATATTTTAATGATTCTGACATAATTTAACGTAGCAAGTTAATGGAGGGATATGCAGGACATCAGGAGGGCAGAACGCACCATTCTAGAGTCTGGGTCTCAGCTTCCAGGACGAGGCAGTGCACTCAGGCGATCAGGCTCAGAGGGATCGATCTGTGTTAAATCGTCTCAATGACATATAGATGAAATTGCTGATTGATTAATTTACAGTGGACAGGCTGAGTGGCAGATGGTTCAGAACTCTTATTTCTTTGGTCAGCATGTTCTTTGCCTGAATAAAAATCTATGTTAGAAGCTAAATTATCAGAAGTTTGGAAGGGCCAGGGCATTACAGCAGAGGAAAGTACTTGAGTGATCTTAGTGGTGAGTACCGTCCATCCTCAAATCCAAGAAGCCGTCCCTTGTGAGACAAACTTAATTTGTACACTGCCGAGGAAATGCTGCCAACAAACACAGCACGCCATCGAGTGTGAGACAGATGGCTGTGTCAGAGACGTCCGTATGCCCGGGAACGCGTGTCTCAGAATCAACAAATACTGATTTATAAACATTAAGTAAGAACTTACTAAATTTGGCTCTTGTAGTGAACGGGACCGATATGTACCCAGGTTCACAGGGCTCACAGTCAGGCTGGGTAGACACGCAAGGTTCCCTGAAGAGCCCAGAGCAAGTACATGAAGCTAAATGAAGTTGGCTAGAGTTTGGTGGATGGGGGCGGCTGGGCAGGAAGTCTGATGAGACCTGATAGTGGAGAGCAGTAAGCAGGTGCCAGGTCCCCAAAATAACCCATAAGCCACGTAAAAATGTCTGGACTTTATTCTAAGGATAGTGGGAGGTTCTTGAATGGTTTTGAGCAGGTTATAACCCGAGTCTGAAAGTTCACTCTGGCTGCAGGCTAGAGAGTGGGCTGGAAGGTGAGCAAGAAAAGAGACGGCAACACCAGTCAGGTGGGCATGGCAGTAATCTGGGGGAATGGGGGTGATGGCGTGGACTGAGGTGACGGCAGCAGGTACAGTGAAAGCGATACACACGATGGGGTCAGGTGAGTGTGGGGACTGATTAGATAAAGGTGGTGCAAAAGGGAAGAATCAAGGGATAGTCCCAGATTTGGCTCTCCAATGCCATTTGTCGAGACAGAGAACGGTAGAGGGAGGAGCCGGTTTGCCAAGTAGGATAATGAATTTAATGTTGCACTTGCTAGTTTTGGGACCTCTACGGGAGATTCATGTGGAAATACCCAGTAGGCAGTTTGCAAAATGGGTTTAAAGCTAAAGACTTTAGAGAGACTTCGGCTGCATGTATACATACACAGATTTCTGATCGCTGCTCAAGGATATTCCTACTAAGTAGACTGGAAGCCAGATCGCTTGTTCCTTTGAACAGTGCAAAAGGCAGCTAGGTAGCCAGACAGGTTCTTGTTCTTTCCTGTCTTCCTGTAGCGTCTCTGCCTTCACGTGTGATGTTCATTCTTCAGACTCATTACATTTCTGCTTCTTACAGTCAGCTTAGCTTTATATGTGGCAACTAGGTCATGTCCTTAGGTGTACTGATGGTGATCGAGGTCCTTTTCTAGTTACCCTGATGGACTTAGCTTTAGTGTATCCTCCAGCCACCCCATTACAAGCTCTTCCTTAAAGTGGGATGTCATGCAGGTGATGGATTGCAAATGTTACATCTTTATTTTTCCTTATTTCAGCCTCGTTTTTAGCTTACCTGGAGGTCTCGAGGAGACCGTAACATCACTCATTAGTACAATCAGGGGATGGGGCCGAATGAGTAGTGAGAGTTAGAGGAGGTAAGTGGGATTGTAGGCTTACATCTGGAACAACAAATGTGGGAAATTTGGTAGGACTTCAGGAAATGAATAAAAGATGACTAAGCAATAGAAAAAAATCCATTTTTAATTTGAACCCATGGGTTTGTGGTAGGTGGGTTCTAATAGTTTTTGGCCTTTCTGTGGCAAATCATCATTAGCCTAGAAGACTACAAATGGGGCGATGGTTAGAGAGATCCCGAATTTGATCCAGGGTAGAACACGCAACAGAGAGTTAATGTCCATATATTTCAGCAAGCTTAGTGAATCCTGTTTGTGGACGCAGGGCCTGGTGTGCCAAGAGGTGGTTAGTGAGTCAGGTGAGAGTGTTTGCTCCAATTAGGCTAATTTAGAGAGTGAGTCCTTTGACTCGGTTTCCATATAGCTGTTGGGAGTAAAGAGTACTAACCCTGGAGAGCCCAGGGTGGGGGGGGAGAGTTGAGAGGTTGTCAAACAAGTATGCTTTTAAAACATTGTATTATCCAAGTAAAGTGTGTTTATTTGAGAGAAACAGAAAGTACATGTAAGCCTAAAAAAGTTTTTAAAACATCAGTCATCATCCCATTACCTAGAGAGAATCACTATTTGTTGTAGTTCTTTCCATGTTTTTTCTATACCTATTTTTAACTTAAAGTGGATAATGCCATGTGTGCATTTTCATAACTTGCTCATTTTATTTAATAGACTATAAGCTTAATAGATTATGGATTTTCATGTTAGTAGTTAGATTTCTGTACCTTTTGTAATACTGTTTTCAATGGCGCTTTCTATCAGATGGGTACGCCATATTGATTTAATTAATTCTGTTTAACCAGAGATTTGAAGTTTTGGGTTTTTTTTTTTAAGATTTTATTTATTTGACAGAAGACAGAGATCACTAATGAGCAGAGAGGCGGGCAGAGGGAGAGGCGGAAGCAGGCCTCCTGCTGAGCAGAGAGCCCGATTTGGGGCTCAATCCCAGGACCCTGGGATCATGACCTGAGCTGAAGGCAGAAGCTTTAACCCACTGAGCCACCCAGGCACCCTGAGATTTGAAGTTTTTAGGTAATTGGAGGAAACAGATTAAAAAGGTGGAAAACCAGGTGGGCTCTGAAGTTATCTAGGAAGTTGCGTATGAATCACAGTGAAGAGCCTGGCAGTGGTAGTGATTGAATAAAGAAAAGCTGAAAGAGAACAGAAATATGTCAGGAACTAGTATTGGTGATTACAGACGAGACTGATCCCTCCTGACTGCACAGTCCAGTCTCTTGAGGAAGTGAGGAAAATTCTGGCTTTCAGAGAAGGAGGGCAGCAGGAGCTGTCAGTTTCCAAAGGCAGAGAGAACAGGGACTACGACATGGGTGAAGAGGTGTTCTCTGCTCGTGTACAGCGTGTCTGAAGGGGTCCCTGAGTGGAGAACAGTAGGAATCTCATTTGCCCTCGTGCATGCAGGACGCCCAAAGCATCAAGGTGTGAAGCGCCGTGTTTGATGTTCCAGAAGCACGCTCTGGATGGAATGAGACGGCAGCTTGAAATCCTAGCTCTTCTCCAGCTGTAGAACTCGGGCACGTGCCTCAGTTTCCTATCAGTAAATAGAAGTGGGAACAGCGGCCTCATACGGGCTGTCACTGTGAGAATCACCAGAATTCACAGCTGGAAAGTGGGCAAAAGGCACACAGGCACAGCTGTTACTGTGCGGAGTAGAGCGAGGGTACCATCGGAAGGACGGGGAGCCTCCGCCGGGGCGAGAACAGCCTCTCGCAGCAGGAGCTATGGTAAAGGCACAAGCACCGTGCACGGAGAATTGACGAAGGAATTAATCAGTACAGGCGTGTGGTCCCTGACACACATGTACACAGGCCTAAAACCATCTCATGGGGCGCCTGAGTGGCTCAGTGGGTTAAAGCCTCTGCCTTCAGCTCAGGTCATGATCCCAGGGTCCTGGGATCAAGCCCCGCATCGGGCTCTCTGCTCGGTGGGGAGCCTGCTTCCTCCTCTCTGTCTGCCGGCTTCTCTGCCTACTTGTGATCTCTGTCTGTCAAATAAATAAATAAATAAATCTTTAAAAAAAGAAAAGAAAAACTTGGTTAATAAAATTTAAAAAACAAAAAAAATCTCTTTTCCCACTGTGGCCCAGGTAGAGAAGCAGGCCGGCTGTGGAACCATGTCACGGTCCAAAGAAAAGTTAGGAGCCCTAAAAATGAAGCCCTTATTTCCTCAGTGCCTTTAGAATTCTGGAATTTCGTTTCCTTTGTGGCTTCTCGGTCCCCTGTTTCTCAACCAGGGCCAGCAGCCCCCGTCCCTGCCCTCCCCACACCCGTGGACATTTAGGCGTGGTGAGGGGACCGGTCGCGTTGCCAGAATCTCTTGGGGGCGGTGAGTAGGCTGGCACCTGGAACGCTGGGTGCTCTTCAGATGGGCCAGCTAGTCCCACAGAATGAAGGACTTGTCTGCAGAAATGCCCGCAGGCTCTCCCACGGGGAGCCACCACGGCATGGGAGGCCTGGTGGCAGGTGAGGCATCCAGCACGTCCAAGTCCAACACCAGAAAGTATGCCACATTCTAAGGCTTATGTGCAGGTTGACCGGAAGAGACTTGCTTGTCCCACAGGACATTTCTAGCAGTCCTTCTTTTGTTTGGAATTCAGAAACGGCTAACAGATGGACTTTGCCTGAGTTTCAGAGGTAGAGACAGGCCCCCAGTCTGAGCCGCCTTGAGCGTAGGAAGGTGGTTGGAAGGGTTCTTCGTGTAGGATGTGAAGGATCACTACCTAGATGCTTCTTTGTTTTTTGATGTTGTTGTTGTTAAACTGTGCCCCGATAGTAGGTTGTATGTGAATTTTACTCCTATCTGCTCTTACCTGTTAATTCCCAACTTCAGGAAACACTTTGGGGACCATAACATGGCGTAAGGGAGAGGAGTGCTAATCTCTCCATGAAGGATGAGGAATAGCACGAGTGCCTAATCACGGCGCACTATGTTAATCCTTTTTGTGTGTCTGTGTTCATCTCAGGAGAGAAACCCTTTATCTGTGAAATCTGTGGCAAAAGCTTCACCAGCCGCCCCAACATGAAGAGGCACCGCCGAACTCACACAGGCGAGAAGCCCTATCCGTGCGACGTGTGTGGCCAGCGGTTCCGCTTCTCCAACATGCTCAAGGCCCACAAGGAGAAGTGCTTTCGGGTGACCAGCCCCGTGAACGTGCCGCCTGCTGTCCAGATCCCACTTACGACGTCCCCGGCCACCCCAGTTCCGTCTGTGGTGAACACCCCCGCCACCCCCACCCCTCCGATCAGTATGACTCCCGTGAGCACTCTCCCCCCGCGGCCCATCCCCCACCCCTTCTCGCACCTCCACATCCACCCACACCCCCACCACCCACACCACCTCCCCATCCCTCCGGTCCCCCACCTCCCCCCGCCTCCAGCTCTCTTTAAGAGCGAGCCCTTAAATCACAGAGGCCAGGGTGAGGACAACTTCCTGCGGCACCTGGCCGAGAAGAACAGCTCAGCGCAGCATCACTAACGCCCTTCTCCCCGCGTGCGTTGTCTGCGAGCCGAGCGCCCGCGCCCGCGTGCCGGTCCGCGGAGACGGGGCTGGCGGGCTCTTCCCGAGCTGTCAGACCCCCCGCCTCCGCCGAGAGCCGCTCGTGGTCCGGGCGAGCCGCCGCGCCCGAGGGGGTGAACGCCAAGACTACCTTGAGCTCGCGGAGGGAACGGTCATCCAAACCAGGGGAACCACCGAACTAAAGGCCACTTTGCTGGCATTTTCTGGTGACTTTTATAAATTTCAAATACTTAGACTTGTGGAATTTTATAATTTCCTATCAGCTGATGAGGTATGCCTGCTTTTATATCCCGGACTTCTCCTCAAAGAGGGGACAGGCCTGGTTTCCTTTGTACTAATCGGGAAGGCTGTGAGATTAACCCAGAGCATTAATTGTATCACTGTGTATCCGAACAAATTCTTTTCAGCTTTTGGTGCTGGCTTTGCCACGGAGCCGGCCGTCTTTCCCAGTCTATCCAGCATTAGAGAGAAAGACGGGAAGTTTCTTCTTTGTGTAGCTCTCCTAACGCACTCTTTATTTTACTACAGAAATTATTTTAGAGTTTTTGTATAGACTTCTTTAGTGGTCTGTTTCTAAAATGAAATGTATTTCAATAAGCGGTGTAATTTTTTCAGTGTAGCTGGGCCTATGTTGTAAAATAGAAAAAAAAATTTTATAATCAGCAAAATGTGATTCTTAAAGATGCGTATAACTTCTATAGTTCAAAGTTATTCTTACATCCGTACAACTCAAAGGTGCTTCAGAGACTAGCTGTATCCGAGAGGGTCTCCAGACACCAGGTTTCTGCCGGAGGACGTTCTGCTTTCAGATCTCCGCCCCACACTCAAGTGTGAGTGCATTAGGCTCGCTGACATGCCCCTTCCCGTCCTCCGCGTTTCACTTGGTGGGGTCACCACGTTAAAGGGAACGATTTGCAGGGAGTCGCCTCTTTGCCCGGGGAAGTCACCCAAAGCTTTTGCGGGTTTTAAAAACCCAAGTCAAGCTGTTCACCATCAGGAGGAGGAAGCAGTGGGGTTGTGTGTCCTGAGTCCTGTCTGTTTCTCACTGTCCCCGGGGCTTGCCCGTGTTCCACCTGTGGCGAGGACGAATGGAAGTCTCACGATACACTGCTCGTTTTGAGGTTGCTGTGTTTTTCTAGAATTGTTGTGGCAAGATAAAAATAGTACACTAAAATCACAAACGTGATGTTGCTGACGGGAGCTGAGAAGTTGGGATGAGAACAAATTGTGAGTAATATATCTCTTCACCGGCTATATCCACAACTTCGAGCTGTTCTCTCACAGTTTAAATTGTAGCGAGGGAAAGAAAACTCCTGCATTTTGCTGCCCTGTTCTCTGCAGATAATTATGTGACAGCAGTGTCCACAGGTGGTGAGGGCAGCGTCTCTAATGCCTGTAAGACAGGCTATTTTTCCAGGTTTGGGAAGCTCCGCGAGAGCACGATCGATCAGGAGCTTGTATAGGAAAGGCTGAAGAGAAGGGCTAACCTATTGCTCGTCTTTAACTGATCCGATTTCTCTAGACTCAGTCAATATAGCTGAAAATTGTGTTTTTTGGTTTTGGGTTTTTTTGTTTTTGTTTTTTTTTAAATCTCAGAGAACTGAGTTCCAAAGCTAGATCTGCTTTCTTTCTCTCTATATATATCTCTCTTTCTCTCTCTCTCTCTCTCTCTCCCTCTGTGTTTTTAATGTGGACATTTCTTCATTTTTCTTTCCTCAGGTGCTTAGATCATTGCCTAAATCAGAACCCTGGCTTTTATTTATTTTTAATATTAAATGTGCAGATATGCCTCAAGCACTTTTCTGGCTGATTAGCTCTGTGGTAGGAAAAAATGGAACTCTCAAGTGAGGTCAAGACCCTATTTTGTAAATACCACATTCTCTACTAGGTTTTTGGTTTTAAATTTCCTCACTTTTTCCTTCTGATTATTGCCTTTCGTTCTATGATGAGCATAGGAAAATTTTGGAATGAGGCAGAAAAGTATCCGAAGACCTACTTTTCTTCGTGTTTGTGGATGTAATTTCTAAAGAATGTTATTTTAAATCTTTGTATACAGTTTTTGGACACCCAGGTACCCAAACCAGTAAGGAAAGTTAATTTCTTGTTTGTGACCGTTATAAAGTGGTTGCCTCCCTTTACTCTCCTTCCCACTCCATTGACAGGTTTGTGGATGGATCGACACCTTCATGTAGACATGTCATCACTTAATGGCCAAGCCTATGATATTAAGATGGTTTTTTAAAAGGTGTTAATTGGTTACAGTACCTTATTTTGTTCTACATACATTTACCGTTTTGGGCAACAATTCTGAATTCTAGACTTGAGACCATTGAATCAACTATTTTATGAAGTGTGCTATCATTATACACTGGAAAATTCAGGTAGTCATATTTGATTTTTTTCACCCAAGCGAATATAGCCATAAGAAAATGCCTGCTACATAGGAAAACCAGTATTAAGCAAAAATCACCACCACCCTTAACAGAAGCAAAAAAAAAAAATCAAAAAAATTTTTAGTCAGCATCATCACATAATACATTTCACAGTGAAATGTATTGTGGAACAATCTGGAAGCTTCTAATTTTTTTTTTTTTTTTTTAACCCTAGATAAGTATACCTTCCCTGACCTGGGGTTTGTGGTCTTCAAGAACACTGCTCAGAACACAATGACGCCTCATCAGTGTCTTATCACATATAAATAAGGAAATGCATTAAGAATATTTGCAACATTCATGCTTCTGAACCCAAGAACTGCAGGATTAAGCCTTAAACATATATGTGCATCAGGTTGAACGTGCTTAAGACTCAAACTCAGGGTTGGAAATCTGATTAGGGTCCTTCACTAAGATGAGAGTTGCATTCTGGTGTGTTCCCTCCAACAGCGAGCACAGCTCCCTGTGACTTGAGAACTTCATGCCTGCTTGCTAGCTGTTCATGAAAAAAAGAACCATGGAGGGGTTTGAGTTCCCAGCCCTTACCTGACCTTTGTCTTTTAAAGACAAACCAAGGCCACATTTCAGCGTTATATAGATATCCACTTGAGGCTCTTTTCTCATTATTTAATTTTACTGTCTCCAAAGGCTTCTATTGTTGGTAGGGTTAAGGCTTACTGGAGGAACATTCCCCAAGGACTTTCTTGAGTTGACATTACTTTTTTTTTTTCCTTTTCCTTGTTCTATTCTTTTCTCATAGATTTAGCATTCAGATATAAACTCTTCCTTAGCCTTAATGAAAGGCTGCTTGGTGCTTTCTCAAATCGAGCCAGGTAGGCTCATCCTGAGTTAGATTTTTTTTAATTTGAATGAAAAAAATAAGACGAGCAGTTTAAAGGCACGTGGCTTCATTTCCGTGTATATTTGTGATTTGATTCTTACTTTTTAGCAAGCAGGGAGGCTCCACATAAGACTTTATGGGAGTTGGGAGAAATCTTTGCAGATCAGTTATTTTACTTCCACAGTCTACCGTTTACGTGAATTGGTCTAAATTATTGACTGAGCATGCCATGACCGTGGTTGTATGATTTTTTTAAAAACTACCTTTGTTGGAAGTACCTTTTCATTTGTGGTTAGAAGGCTCCCTGTAATTTGATTGTCCCTAAGAAACTAACTGAAGGCAAAAGCACGCTGAAGAGATGCTTGTTGACTTTGAATTTTCTAGTTCTTGAAATTATTTTCAGTTCTTCTGTTTGTCGAATGGATATGTGTGTTTCTCTTTTATATCACTGGAGGTTTTACATTTTGAGAAGATCAGGCAGAAATAGAAATCCATTGCCGATGGTTATTTATTTTCCCCATCTTGCAGATTTCAGTCAGTGAAACAGAGTGGTAGGTGGGATGTTACTGTAAAAGAGAAGAGGAAGAAGAAGGGAGAAAACAAAAGTTAGGGGAAACCCTTCCGTTTGAGCTACTGTATAGAAGAGACAACTTGTATGACATTGCTGAGCCACATGGTGAACATTTCCGTGCTGTTCTAGACGGTACAGGAAGTGGCTCCTAAAAAGGGGGATAAGTTTCACTTAAGAATTTTAGCAACTATTCTACCGTGACAAAAACCCGCTCTCTTGGAATCCTTCAGACAATAAAATTGAGCAAATAGATAACGGGTTTTAATTTCTTTTTGCCTAAACCAAGATAGGAAATTTCCCAAAAGACCATTTCTTTTCAGGAATGAAAGGTCATTAAGCCACTGGAGACAGTGGCATTTTTATGCAATAAGAACAACCGAACTCCCCTGCTCCTGTCATCTGTAGCACGTGTACTCAATGACAATGGCCTTCCAGCCCTGGACACTACCTCGATAAAGCAAACCAGAGATCCTCCCCACACTTTCTATGGAAGCCATAAAAGTTGCCATCAATATGTCCACTTTCATAGTTCTCTACTTTTATACTCTCTAGACTTTTTATAGACTCTATGATCAGATCTTTTTGTCTTAGAGGATAGGTTTTGCAAGATTCAAAGGAAAAGCAAACTCCCTGGTTGTCCCAGCTTTGAAGCCTTAGCTTCAGTAAATTTGTCGAAAGAACCAGATAATGTGCCATTTATCCAATTCTTGATTTGAAGTCACAGCTGTTTTGCAGAGTGGCATATCCGGAAAACAGACTTCTCTTTCTTATTCCCTAAGCAGAAACTATATTTGTTGTAAGAAGCTACTTATAAAGTGGATTTCTACTACCTTGTTACTCTATGTATTCCTCGATAATATATGTATTGTCACAACGTTCCTGGAGTTGTGTTTATTTCCTTGTGACAGATAAGTGAGTCCACACTTCCCCCCACCCCACTGACCCCCCTGTTAGCTCACTGCAGCTCAGTCTTTCACTCTGTTCTTGAGTGCCTTCAAAAAGCCAGCATCCCGGAACATTCTTTCCCTGGTCTGAATCCTACCTCTGATTATTTCATTCTCCTGAGTATTGGAAGTCTCCCTTATTATTCCCGTTGGTTTGGCTCTACAAAGTAGCTAGACCCTTGGATGGGAATTCTGGACCTATTCCCATTCTGTTTCCCCATGTCACTTTTAAATGACATTTTATGCTTTTGCTCCGATCTTATTTCTGGACCTACTCCATCGCTAATGACGAAAGATTTTATCCTTATTCCTCGTTCTCTTTCCTTTCGCCAGAAACGAGATGCTCCTTTAAAAATGAAAGGTCACTGAGCACCTCTTTTGAACACCTTCTTCTCATGGTGGATCTCCCTGAATGCCTCCCCTTCCTGATGAAGGGACCCCGAATGCTGCTGTTGCCGTGCGCTGCTCCTGCATGCCCTCTCTCTTCCAGAAACATTCCGGAAGATTATACCCATAATTCTAGTGGAGTCAGATGAATCTGATATTGCTCTCTGGGTTAATCAGAAGTCCTTTACTGGTTGTCGACCTGCCTCTCTCATCCGCCTGTCCCTCAGAAACTTCCAGTTACCTTCTTTTCTACTAGTTCTCATCTCATTAATTTTTAAAGTGTGATTGATACATGATATATGAAGGATGTAATAAAAAGGGGGTTGCAGTGCGTGTTCTCCGTGTGACAGGAACACCTTCTTGATAAACCGTTGTAGCACTCGGCTCATCTTTCACAGTCAGAACTGACGTGTGTGGTGTCGTGCGGGTTCCTTGCTCCTGTTCGGTTCTTCTCCAACACTGAAGACAAATAGAACTCTTTAAAATGAGGAACTTGGGTTGCATTTTCTTTTCTTCACGTGAATGAAAGCTATTGAGTATTTGGGTCTTAGTCAATAATTGTTCCTTTCTCACCCAAAATGCCATGTCCCTTCTTCTTAATGTTAATAATACTAATACTCAGGTTTTCAAGACTAATAACCACACAATGTGGGAGTCCATGAAGGCAGCTGTTAATAAATTCCTAACCCTTTTTGCCTGGCGACAGTATGTTAATTGGTGAGATAGTGCAAAATTGTGAGAATTGGTTATGCTTGATGATGAATAAATTCAAGACGTCCGAAGGCCTCCCTGCCCATTTGAAATCGAAAGGCCAGTCTACAGAATGAAAAAAAAAAAAAAAAAAAAAAAAAAGCAGACTACAGAAATAAGTAACAAGAGTTTCGTGGCTTAAATCCTTTCCACTTTCCTTTGCCTTGATGGTCCCTGTTACTGACCTAGAAGTTTACCTCTTTTCTTGGAACCGGCTCCCTAAAGTAATTACTTTGAAACATGTGGCTTCTCCCTGAAGTCACAGGCAGTTCAGCAGGTTGGGGAGAGGCATGGTAGCCTCACACTCAGGGGAGCCACATCCCTGAGACAGACTGTTGGCTTGTTCCATGTCTTCTAGGATCGGGTGTGCTTGGTATCAAAGGGCCCTGAGAAGTGTCCCCTCTACTTTCTAGTTCCACATTCCTTTCACGCTATTCGAGCTTCTCCGGTGAGATATCAGGGATGTTACAGACTACCTAACAATTTGGGGGACACGTAGGAAATGGGAACGGGGCAAGAAGGGGCAGAAGCCGCATTTTGCTTCACTTCAGAAGGAAATTTAATCCTCGCATTTGCTGGTTTGGGTCAGCCGGAGAGCCTCTCTCTGACTCGGATGTGCCAAAGAGCCCAGTTGTTTCTGAATCTCCTGCCCGCCCTGAGCGAATCCGGCATCTTCCCTGCCTGACTTTCACAGGGGAGCAGGGACCATGTGACCAGAAGGGCAGAAATGTCATGTCACATCA